AAAAAATAGTCAAAGAGGCAAAAATAATTTTCTTTAAAAATTAACTTGAGTCAGATAGTATTTTAACAATAAGTATCCAGCTGGCAAATCCAGTTGGAACATAATGTATGAAAGGTAAAATAAGATAGAAGTTGAGGTGGAATTTCATCACTAAGTAGTCAGGAATGTAAGTGCAATTATGTATATGTAAAGCAAAAATATTAAAGACAGAACTGTCAGTGAGCCAAAAGAATGTAAGAAATTTTTTTTTAAACTTCTGTTAAACTATAGAGTAGTTACCTTCCTTCAGTTAGTTCTCCTGATGCACATGTCACAGTTGCATTGCTTTTGAGTTAAGAAATAATTTCATTGAGCAGTGACTTTATCCAAACCCTGTGGATATATTAGGTCTCCAATTCTTCTCATGCCAGCTTTATCCAAACCCTGTGGATATGCTATTAGGTCTCCAATTCTTCTCATGCCATCACAGCACCAGCATAAGTGCCCTTGCAATCCCTTAAATGAGGAGTGGTGCATGGACTCTACAGAAATGCAGGGGAGACTCTGAAATTGTAGTTTCCTCTGAGAGTATGTTGAAATTAAACAGGTTGTTTAGGGGAATTTCCCTGTTTCTCACAACTATGAACTAATGAAATAACTTGTCTACACAGATCAGTGGGATGATAGATTTAGGGTTTTTTTCTCTCTGCCATCTATGCTGACAAGTCCAGATTATCCACTACTTTCAGTGTGACACGTACTGCTAAGTAGTGAGAGGTGTTTCTCTTTAAAATGCCATGTCTGAAACCTCTACGTCCTGCAGCTGTAATGCATCACATGTCAATCTGTTGACATGTCAATTCTTTTTTTCTTCTGAATAGGTGGATGTTTTTCTGAATGTGGAACAGTTAAAAGAAGAAATTGAGTTTTTGAAGAACGCACACAAGAGAAAAGCACGTTTGGGTGCTTTCAAGACTTTTTCAAATTGTTCTGGAGTAAAAGAAGACAGTAGTAGCTCCTCTCCTCAGGGTCACAGTGAAAATGTAAAGCTGCTGATGGCATGGGTTAATGCTGTTTGTGGATTTTACAATATCAAGGTAAATAGTTTTGTGTATACTTCAACAAATACATCCTGTGCTATCATAGTTCTTTATAGAGTGGAATTCTTCAAACTATCAAATATGTAGTAGCAGCCAATGGTAAGGAGTTTTAAGTGTCCTTCTGGGTGTTGTTTAATATGATTTGAAATAACCATTGTCCTGTGAGGTTTAGCTGCAGCTTTATTTTTAAACAAATTTGAGCAGAAGGATCTCCCTTTCTAGTGAGTGTAATAAAGGCATAGATGTGCCTTGTAAAAATACAACATTCTTTGCTGAAATGTGAGTTGTTTGTGTATTTTTAATGAGCATTCTTTCTAAAAGATTTTGTGCATAAAATGTTCACCATATATAGGACTTTGGAGAATTAAACTAATGTTTGGATAAGGTGAATTTCTCATCTCAGATATGGGTAGGGATATATATATAGCAGGGACTTGTTTGCTCCTTCCAAGAAGAGAAGCCCTGATCAGAGACATGTCTCTGGTCAGAATGCAATCACAGCTGCTAGTTTTTCTGAAGGGTAAAACACTTAGGACTGATGCAAGTTCAGAACTTGTTTCTGCATTGAAAATCTTGTGTAAAGGTATCTGTAGAAATTTATTGGGGTCCTTCTGTAGAAAGATTGCTTTCTCTTTGGGTTCTTCAGTGTTTCCCTTGGAGGGAAACATTCACAGTACAGTGATACACACCTCTTGTTCCTGGTTTCATACAGCTGTAGGTCATTGTACAAAGGAAGCAGTAGCTACATACATTTATTTGTTTAAAAAAAATAAAAATGCACTTGGTCACATTCAAGAACAAGTTCTATATCTAGTTTATAGCAATTACCTGGTAACAAAAATTGAAGGAATTTGTATCTCAATGTATTTTACTTAACAGGTGGAAAATTTCACAGTGAGTTTCTCAGATGGCAGAGTATTATGTCACCTGATTCATCATTATCATCCATGTTACGTGCCTTTGGAAGCTGTGTGCCAACAGACAACTCAAACAGTCGAATGCTCAAGAACTGTTACAGTGGGACTGAACTCTTCCACCTCATCAGATTCTGATGCTTCTCTAAATGTTACGGAAGGAATGTTTGACCAAAGTGAGTTATTTGGTCTGCAGAAGTTCGTGTTAAATCTGTTCGTTTTATGCACAAATTGGTTTGACAAACATTTTCTCTTTACAAAGCTGTAGCTCCATCAGCCCTATACAAGGAACTCTTGGACAATGAAAAGAAAAACTTCCAGTTGATCAGTGCTGCAGTTTCTGACCTAGGTGGAATACCAGCAATGATTCATTACTCAGACATGTCAAACACAATTCCTGATGAGAAGGTAAAATGCCTTTAGAGTTGTTGTAAACATATTCTGCTGTTCTGAGAACATGTCCTGCTCGTCCATATAGGCCTTAACTCTCTGTGCTCTGTGTTTGCACAGGTTGTTATTACCTACCTGTCATTTCTGTGTTCGCGGCTTCTAGATCTTCGGCAGGAAACTCGAGCTGCACGGTTAATTCAGTCTGCTTGGAGGAATTACAGGCTGAAAAGGGAACTGAAACTTTCTCAGGTACTCTCTGCTTGTGCAACATTCATAGCTTCTACTTTGAGAAATGATAAGGAGTACACATTCACTGGAGTATACAGGTTTATTAGAATAATACTGGTATTTAAATCAATGAATACCATTTTTATCATCAAAATATGTAGCCTGCTTGGTGGTGTAATCTACAGAAACCCACTTTAGTTGTTTAAAGGCCTACTGTTCTTTGTGTTCTGCTTAGAATGAGTCACCCCTTAAGTCCTTTTCCCACTATTTCAAATACAGTTGCACTGCTTCCTTAAAACAGGAAAGAAGTCGTTAATTTTTAATTCCTATTAATGTCTACAAGATGAGAAGAGTAATTAAATTTCTGCATGGATTTACTATTTTTGTTCAGGACCTAAACTTTGCCAGTGTTTTGAATTAAATTTCATGAGTTCTCATGTTTTGTTTCTTGCTTTTCTAGTAGTTATACTAGATCTTGTGAGAGTATGATGCCAATGAGGTTGATAAATGCCACCACGGTGTCTGAGATAGTTACTATTTGGTGTTCAAGTGAACATTCTAAGGATCTGTGGTGTAGAAGGGGACAGAGGTTTTATTTTGTGGGTTTTTTCATCTCCAGTTTCTTTACAAAATCTACAGTAATAGTAAAGATGCTGATAAGGAGAATCAAAACCAAGCTCCCCTTAGCGTTGCAGGTAGGATAGGATCAAAATACTTAAATATGTTACATTTGTTAGTTGCTTTTTCCTTTTATTTTGATGTACGTCAGTTTGTACAATCTAAGGATCTGGGTTACAATAAAAACAGTGGTTGGTGTGTGCAGACAAAACTCTGGGCTAGATGGATATGGGCTGGTATGACTATCTTTGTACTCTTTTGCTTTCCAGCTCTATTTAAATAATACATTCTGGCATTCTCTGTTAGTGAGGGTATCTTAAACTGTTATGAATGAGAAATAAAACTGAGGCTTAAAACTGGGTTGCTTAGGAGTGCTGAAAGTTTCAAAGAAGGAGAACTGTGAAGGCAGGAGGATGCAGGTTTACGTGATACCACCCTTTTGCAAAGAACTTAGTGCTGAAATAAAAAATGTTCTGTCTCAGAAACATTTTTACCACAGTAAAGAAAAGCTGTACTGTCACCAAGCCTAATTTTTATGAGATTGCTCTAGAGACTTATTCACATCAAAAATTCAAGTGAAAATTCCAATCCTAACTGTTTAGTGGAAATTTACACTTTGTAGGAAAGAGACAGAGCTGCTCGGATAATTCAAAAATCTGCAATAAACTTCTTGTCTCGTCGCCGCATCCTGAGGAAAACGAACGCAGCAGTTTTCATCCAGAAGCACTGGAGAGGATACTTGGCAAGGATGATTTTATTAAACCTAAAAAAGGCAAAACTGGAGGAAGCCAGAAGTAAATCTGCCACAGTCATTCAGGTAATACAATCTAAAGTGACATTACACAGCACGGAAACCCTCTGAAACCTCTAAGAAACAGCTTTTCTCAAAGCCCTTTGTTCTCCTTACAGCAACTGATGCCTTCCTGAAATGTGATAGTTCTTTTTTTTAACATTTTTTCCTTTCTCTGCTTTTGAAATGTTAACATTTTTCCCTCCTCTGCTGTTGAAATGGTTTAGTAATTTTCTCTCTTCAGAGAGGAATTGCAAAGTGTTATTAAATTAATAATTCTTCCTTCTTAGTGAATGTTTCGCTATACCATAAACATTAAACACTGGGCCTTAACCCAATCAAAGGACTGCACAGATTGTATTGATTTGCCTCTTTGCAGCTGCTGAACATAAAGTTTTTTCAAAAAGTTATACATTGCTCTCCTAGTGTTGTGTCCCCTGCAGTGGGCACGTTCAGACTGCAGACAATAGTTACCAGCTGCTACTTGGGCAGTTAATTCAGTTTTTTTGAGATAAGTTCCCCACTATTACCCAAAGCTAAATATTACATTCTTAAGACTTTTTTAGAGTGGAGATTAGAGAATCACTGATTTATCAAATAGTTTAAAAGGGAATCTTTTGTTGCCAGTGCAAATTTAGCTTTTCCTCAGAATTTAAAGTGCTTAAAAGAGCAATGATTCAAGCATTTGGCTTTAGGGTGTTTTTTGTTTTGCATTGTTTGTTGGGTTTTTTTTAAAGATGTTCATTTCTGAATTTACCTTCCCACAGATTAAGTAGGAATAAAGAAATCTTTAAAAGCCCGAGGATGGTAGCCCTAAAATTAAGGTTTAACTCGAGATACCATGAAGAAAATGCTAAATTTTATCTTTTTTTCCTGCAGGCTTATTGGAGGAGATACTCTGCTAGGAAAAGATATTTACAGCTAAGATACTATGTTATTTTTGTACAAGCAAGGATAAGGATGGTACAGTCTGTTGCTGCATATAAACGAATTGTTTGGGCTGCTGTCACAATTCAGAGGCATCTCCGTGCATCTAAGTTGGCAAAAGAAGATCAGCAAAGATACAAAATCTTAAAGTCTTCAGCACTTACTATTCAGTCTGCATTCAGAAGATGGAGAGAATACAAAATGCAACAGAAAATTAAGGCAGCTTTAGTGCTTCAGACTTATTTCCGAAAATGGCAATCTTCAAGACTGGCTAAAAGAGGAAGTGCTGCTCTTGTCATACAGTCTTGGTACAGGATGCACAGAGACCTGAGACAGTATCTACAGATTAAGCAAAGTGTTATCAAAATTCAGGCTTGGTACAGGTGTCATCTGGCCAGACGTATTTACCAGGAACACAGGGCAAAAATAGTGACAATTCAGCAGTATTACAGAGCTTATAAGCTAGGGAAAATCCAAAGAGAGTACTACTTGCAGAAACGTGCAGCAGTGATAGTTCTCCAAGCTGCTTTTAGAGGCATGAAGGCACGTAAGCTGTACAGGCAAACAAAAGCAGTTTGTGTTATTCAGTCACTGTGGAGAATGAAACGAGAGAAACAAAGATTTTTACAATTAAAAAAAGCTGTTACTACATTGCAGTCGCATGTGAGAAAATACCAACAGGTAAAAAGATACAGAGAGATTAAAAATGCTGCTTCTGTAATTCAAACTTGGTACAGGGCACATGTCTCCTCTAAAAAAGCAGCTGCTGCTTTCCAGAGGATGCGCCTGGCTGCTATTGTTCTGCAGTCTGCCTACAGAGGGATGGAGGCCAGGAAACAGGCTCGTGTGTTGAGATCTGTGGTCAAAATTCAGTCAAGTTACCGTGCTTATGTCATCCGGAAGAGATTTAAAACCTTGAAAGAAGCAGCAGTGAGGATTCAAGCTCTAGTAAAGATGAGGCAGGCACGTAAACATTATTGCGCATTGAGGGAAGCCACACTTTATATCCAGCAAAGGTATCGGTCTCGTAGGTATGCTCTTCAGCTTGAAGAGGATTATAGGAAGTTGAAGGGAGCTTGCGTAAGGATTCAGGCTGCAGTTCGTGGCTATCTTGTCAGGAAACAAATACAAAAGTGGAGGGAGGCTGCAGTATTTCTCCAGGCCTGCTACAGAATGAGAAGGGACCGGCAGTGGTACTTAACCGTCTATAATGCTGCCGTTGTCATTCAGCAGCGTTATCGTGCGTGCAAAAAGCAGCAGTGTCAGAGGCAGGAATTCCTGCAAGTCAAAAAAGCAGCTGTGTGCTTACAGGCAGCCTACAGGGGTTATAAAACACGCCAAAAGCTTAAACTTGAATACAGAGCTGCTGTTAAAATTCAGAATGCTTTTAGAGCTCATGCTGCACGAAAGAAATACAAGGCAGTGGTTCAGGCCTCCACTGTGATTCAGAGGTGGTACAGAAGCTGTAAGATTGGCAACAGGCAAAGACTGAACTTTCTAATGACGAGAGCGGCAGTGGTTTCTTTGCAAGCAGCTTTTCGCGGCTGGAAGGTGCGAAAGCAGATTCAAAGACAGTGTGTTGCTGCTACTGTGATACAGTCTGCCTTCAGAAAATACCTGGCTCTGAAAAAATTCAGGCTTATGAAGCAGGCTGTGCTAACTATCCAAAGGCATTACAGAGCCAGTGTTGTAGGCCAGAAACAACGGCAGGAATACGTTCGGCTGCGTAACTCTGTAGTGCGTCTTCAGGCAACATGGAGGGGGAAAACGCTGAGAAAAACAATTCAGGAGAAACATTATTGTGCAACAATTATTCAGTCCTATTACAGAATGCACGTAAATCTACTGAAATATAAGAAACTAAGACAGGCCACTCTGGTGATTCAGAAACACTTCAAAGCTTCCTGTATGAAAAAAACCCAACGTGTGGCTTATCTGAAAATAAAGGCAGCTGTGTTAGTCTTGCAGTCTGCTTACCGTGGGATGGCTGTGAGGAAGCAACTGAACAAACTAAACAAAGCTGCTGCAATTATACAAGTTGCCTTCAAGTCTTACCTGGTCAGAAAGGACTATGAAAGGCTTAGATCTGCAGTGATAGTAATTCAAAGGCGTTATCGTGCAAATATTCATGCTCAATGCCAAAAGCAGAGATATTTGTCTTTAAGAAGAGCCACAGTCAAAATACAGGCGGTTTTTAGAGGTGTAAGAGTTAGACGACAGGTTCACCATATGCATCAAGCAGCTATTTGCATCCAAGCCGTGTTTAGGATGCATCACATGAAGATAAAATATCAGTCTATGAGAATGGCAGCAATTAGAATCCAAAGACAATATAGAGCATTTTGTTTAGGCAGAGTGCAACGCAAAAAGTACTTGGAACTAAAGAAGTCTATTGTTACCCTTCAGGCTGCTTGTAGAGGCATGAAAGTCCGACAAGACTTAAAAACTGTGCATCAGTCAGCAGCAATAATACAGTCTTACTATAGAATGCACAAACAACAGAGAGATTTCAGAAAATTGCTGCTGGCAACTCGGCGGATTCAGCAGTGGTTCCGTGCTTGTAAGGAGCGGAATGCACAAGTTCACAACTATCTGATTATGAAAAATGCTGTGCTGTGCATCCAGGCTGCGTTCCGTGGCATGCAGACAAGAAGACTTATAAGAACTATGAGTGAATCAGCTGTGATTATTCAAAGAAGATATAGAACTTTTCTCCAAAGAAAACGTTTTCTTTCCATGAAGGCAGCTGCTGTTGTAATTCAGAGGAAATACAGAGCAACAAAACTAGCAAAAATTCAACGTCAAAAATATCTCTCTTTCCTCAATGCTGCTGTTGTCATACAGTCTGCTTATAGAGGCTTTGTGGTAAGGAAAGAAATGCAGCGAATGAATCAAGCTGCTACAGTTATTCAAGCAATGTTCAGAATGCATAAAATTTACACTTATCAAGCTGCCAGGCTTTCTAAAGCAACCAGTTCAGCAGTTACTATTCAGAGGTGGTACAGATCGTGGCACAAGGTTCGTTTACAGAGAGCAGAGTATTCTGCTCAAAGACAAGCAATAGTGGTTATACAGGCTGCCTTCCGTGGTATGAAAGCAAGAAAAATGGCAAGGCAAATACGAGCTGCAAGAAAGATCCAGTCTTTTCTTCAGATGGCCGTGCAGCGTAGAAAATACTTTCAACTTAGAACAGCAGCTATTACGTTACAAGCCTATTACTTAATGTATAAAACTAAATCACAGTACAGAAGCTATAAAAAAGCAGCAGTTGTCTTACAGCGATGCTACCGATCCCACCTGGCTGTGAAACACCAAAGAACCACTTACTTACAAACCCGGAGGAACATTATCATTGTGCAGGCTAGAGTCAGAGGATTCATTGAAAGGAAGAGGTTTCACAGGATTAAAGAAAGCACAGTAAAGATTCAGGTATTTTTGAATGAATAGTAGTGGGGTTTGGGTGTGTTTTGTTTCATTTGTGGGTGTTTTGAAGATTACTGCTTTTGCTAGCAATAGTTCTAAGCTAAGGCAGGATCAATTTTTGAAGTGTACTGTATGGCAGGTGTATCAGTGAACTCCCACAGTGCACAGAAATAAGGTTCTGGGAGGACAGAAAGAAGTTGCTTTTGCCTGTCTAGATATTAGTAGCTTAAGGAATGTTTCATTTTGTTGGAGGATGAATGAGCTGTCTTGAGGTACTGAAATGGGGAGGGCAACTGGTATTGGGTAGAAAGTGAAGTAAATGGCGAAAGACGTTTGTCTGTTAGGTTCTGTACTTACATTTAAGAAGGTGAGGAGTAAATCAATCGAGTTAGTCCTTCTAGGTTTATTAAATGGCCCTAAATTAATTTGAGTGCCTAGCTAACATTTTGAAGAGCAATTAAAGGAGGGAATTTCCCCCAAATCAGGGAAGAAAGGGAAAAAAATAATCTCTCCTAATAATTTGGGACCCTGAGCAGCCTGATCTAATGGACAGCATCCCATGGTGGGTGGGCTGGAGCTAGATTCTATGATAATTTCTTACGTCATCATATTCTTAGCTGTTACTATCTTGTTAGAGAGCACATGCTCTGCTTAAGAGATTAGAAAACACATGTGCCTTCCTCACCTTCATGTTTTGGGGGGAATTGGCAGCTTCTTTGCTATTTTCTGAATGTTTAACTTGTATATCTGTCAATATCCCAAACGTTGTAAGTATAATTACTTTGCTTAAAAGGTATAAAAAAAGGATTAATTGTGAATTCAGGCATATATTTATTGCTGTTTTTCCAACAAGCCAGTGAGTATAGCTGTTCTTAAAAATATGCAAACATTCTGAGTTGATACCATGCAAAGTGGTGAAATATTCAAAGATTATGTCTTTTTTTTTTTTTTCTTTTAAGGCATCTCTCCGTGGATTTATTCAGAGACAGAAGTACCTTCAGTGCAAGTTTTCTGCAGTAATAATACAGCAGCACTACAGAGCCCATCGAATGCGAAATATTGACCAGCAAAGATACCATCAAATGAAAAATGCTGCCATTAGCATTCAGGTAATCATAGGTGTGGTTTTTATTGGGGTTCTGTGTAGTTGTTTTTTTAATCCCCGTTGTATTTGTTTCTTCACAATACAGTTATTTTTGCAGACTAATACTAAAGACAGGGGCATTTGTGGTGTTACCCTGAATGCATTTCACTTGCTTTTGGAAACGTCTCCTAGATGTGAGAAATTGGATATTTGTAATGGGGTAGAGATAGGAATCCTAAAAGTTAGTGTGACTATCTTCCTTTTAATTTTGTTTCATTCAGCAAAAAACCGCTCAAGATGTGTTTTTTTTTTTTTTATTTTTGAATCTATTTCATAGGCAGCATATAGAGGATATAAAGCCAGGCAGTGGGTTAACAGAGTGAAAGCAGCACAAGTAATCCAAGCTTGGTTTCGAGGCTACACAGCACGAAAGGAATATGCATCTGTGGTAAAAGCTACACGAGTTATTCAGAGTCACTTTAGAACGAAGCAGCTGCGGACCTGGTAATACTGAAGTTGATATAAATTTCTGTACTTTTCAAAGCTTTAATTATATAATTATTTAGTGCTGCATGTAATATGCAATGTAATGTACGTAATACCCTGTTGAGGCATGTAGGGTTACTCTTTTGCACAAGATTTGACTGATGTTTAAATATTTTTTCTGGATTTGACACTACCTCACAAAATTAAATTTTGTTTATTGGGGATATAGAAAGAGTGAGCCTTGATCTGTTTTTCCACTTCTCTGTTTTTTACAAGAAGGATGTTCTGGCTATTTTTAAAATTCCAGCATAAAAATAATAGGATGAAAAACTATTTCATTATAATGCATAATGGAATAGTTAAACCAGTTTGTTTATTTTGCTATGAGATGGTTTTGCAGTAAGTGCTCTACTAGATCAGCCTGGTAGCTCTTCACATTTGGAACTGTGTCCCTGGTCAGTAGCAGTAGAGGATGCTGTTCAGGGATACTATTTTAACCTGACCACTTTCCAGTGTCCTCCCTCAGCATCCCTGCTTGTTAGTATATGGATGCTAGAACTTACATCCTTCTCTATCCCTATTATGCTTTGATGGACCTTTTGTATGTCAGTCTGTCCAATGCCTTTCAAGCTGCTGTCTCCCTCTCCAGCCTCCTCTGGCAGCAAGTTATGTAAGTACCTACTCTGGGAAAACAGAAGGTCTCTTCTGTTTAAAATCAGATTTTCTGTCAACATTGCTGGCTATCCCCTTTTCCCAGAGTTCCAAAATTTGATGGACAACAGCTCTGCTTTCATAATAGCTATCTTCATAATTTTGTAAACCATCATTGTTTTCTTGCTTAAACATGCATTTTCATGTTAGGTTTTTGAAAATGAAGTTCTGTGCACTTACCATCCAAAGAAGATGGAGAGCGACCCTTACTGCACGGAGGGTTCGGCATCAGTTTCTGGCAACTAAGAATGCTGCAGTTAGGATTCAGTTGGCCTATAGACAGTACAGGGCTAGAAAACTCTTCAGAAAGGTATGTTTTTACTTGCCCTCTGCTATTTCATGGTTGTTTTTAAAATCTTCAATACATCTGAGTGATTTTTGTCATCAATGTGCAGAAGCATAGTAAAGGTGGGTGCGGGACAAAGATTGAACAGTTTTGATTTGAACAAACTTCAAAGTATTTAATATCCTTTTTAATTTAAGTAACAGGCTTGATTCTTGGTTTTGAACAGTTTCACATGTTGAATTACCCCTGTCTATACTGATACCAAAATAAAATGCATTTTTATTGCTTACAAAGGATTAAGTGCAATTGTCCGTATTTTAACCCTGTTTAGGTAAGGGAAAAAGACCTTCCAAATTATGAAAGTGTTTTTATAATAAACTAGTACTGTATGAGTTTGCTTGTATTTCTTGTTCCATTTTTGTTCTTATGATGCAAAAAAAACCCCTAGAACTAAAAATGAATGTATATTGATCATGACGGGGATGAACAAAAGTTTAGTTATCAATGCATTCTTTTAAAATCTTTATCAGGAGCTTCAGGCTGCATGTTTGATCCAAAAAACATATAGAGGTTTCAAGGCAAGAAGGACATTTGTTCAACAGAAAGCTGCTGCTGTAGTTATCCAAAAACATCTGCAGGCTTGGCAAGAAGGCAGGCTTCAATTTGTGAAATACAGTAAGACTAGAAGAGCTGTCATTAAACTGCAAGCACTTATAAGAGGCTATTTAATCAGAAAAAAGGTTGGTATAATTCAAATTAAAACTATGCTTTTCATGTAAAGTATCTCTAAAGCTGTTTTAGCATTAATTCTGACTGGCAAGAGAAGGAAAACCTGATCTCTTGTTGAAATCAAGTTCTTGTTGGCTGCTTGGAGTATTGTGTGGGTCAGAAGAGATCAAAACACAGTTTTGACCCTTTTCTGACAGTCATTGGGAACTAAAGTAGGTTTACATTGTTGTAGTTTCTTTTTAGCTTCTGAGATCTTTGTGGCTTACCTATAACTGGTACTTCTGCACACACAGGCTTACAATGAAACTGTTCTCTGCTGTGTATTAATGTTGTTGCTTACAATCACTTCTGTGTTATCCTTTAGATAGAGACCTAGTACTGAAGGAGGTAGCTTACTTTAATTCTGAGGCAGTGACCTCCAAGGCCATTTTTCAGCATCTAATAGCATATTGCTGTGTACTACATTCTTTGTGTAGACAATCAGCTAGCTCAGTGTATGAAAATTAATGATGTTCCTTGTTTTGTTTTCCTCATACAGATTTTAGAACAGAAACAAAAGATGAGACTACTTTGTTTTGCAGCAGCTGCATATCATCATATCTCTGCAATTAAAATTCAAAGGGCATACAGGGTTCACCTCATCTTAAAACTTGCACAAAACCAAATCTCATCCATTCTTATAATCCAGGTTAGTCTAATTAAAGCTGAATGATTTTGGGTAACGCAGTCTTTAATTTCTTTTCTGTGAACTAAGCTGTAGCACTAAGACACTGTAGTTCCTTTACGTTGAAAGATAAAGCTTAGTTATGGAGAGTATGATTTGTTAAATAATGCTGCTTGTACCCAGCTAAGCATAATAGAGTGGATGTCAGCAAGCTCTGCAGGCTTAAGCACTGTAAATCTGAGGATGGATGGGAAAGTTTGTTTCCTTCAGACCCTCAAGTTTGCTAAAGGTGTCCGAGTGCTGTCTTAACCTATTTCTTTGCATCTTACTGTAAGTAGGAAAGATCATAATGACAAACTGTAAGGTTCATGAAATGTAGAGCATCTCCTTAGACGAATACACCTCTGGGGTACAGTGGTTGGTTGGTGCTTATTTGGTTAGATGTTAGAGGAGTGCAGCAAAGCTGGTGAAAGGGCTGGAAAGCATGTCTTATGAGGGGCAGCTCAGAACTTTGGGTTTATGTATTTTGGAGAAAAGGTGGCTGACCTCACTGCTCTCTACAGCTTCCCAAGGAAGGAAGTGGAAAGAAGAGGTGCTGATCTCTTTTTCCCGTGACCCAGTGATAGGACACATGGGAATGGTTCAGAGCTGCCTCACAGAGGGTTTAGATTGGACATTGAGAAGCATATTTTACTGAGAAGGTGGTCAAACACTGGAAGAAGCTTCCTAGAGAGGTGGCTGTCAGTGTTCGAGGCATTTGGAGAATGCCCTTAATGACATACTTTGTCTTTGGTCAGCCCTGACATGGTCAGGCAGTTGGACTAGATGATCACTGTAGGTTCGTTCCAGCTGAAAACTACTCTGCCTTCTCTACTCTTCTCTCCTAGAATGCTTCCCTAATGTCTCATAGTTAAGATTCTGTTTTTCACTCTTGCATTTCAGCTACCCCAACGTCAGTGAGAGTCCTGGCAGTTAAATGAGTGCTAGTGATGTTTGCAGTGTCTGTAACTGTCAAAGCTCACTTTAAAACACTTCTTCAGTTATTGTCAATGTTCATAGGATGGGCAAAGGGAATTTGGGAAAAAGTCTTAAATGTATACAAAGGTACTTTAATTTTCAACAGAGATGGTTCCGAGCAAAAATGCAACAAAAGAGATTTCTAAGAGATTATCAAAGAATCCTTCGATTGCAACGTGCGATTCGGCACTGGTTACATCGCAGAAATGATGCAGCAACCATAATCCAGCGAAACATGCGGAGATTCCTTGCCTGCAGGCGTAGGAGAAAGTTTGCAGTTGGAATAGTTAAATTTCAGGTAAATATTTCTTGTAAGAAAGATGTTTACTTTGGTTGATGAGTTTATTGGGGAAATTGCAAACCAAGTCAGTGTTGGTTTGGGCATCAAAGCTAAAATAGATCATGAAGTAATATTAAGCAGGTACTGGTTAGAGGGCACTTAGGTGGAAGTGTATGGAGTGTGTGTGCATGTTTGTTTGGACCTTTTGTCTTGAAAGTCCAATATTTGAAAGATTGAACACTGCTAATTACTTAAAATTTAATAACTAGCATCATTCACTACTTTGCCAGACTTGTGTAAAACTGATTTGGAATGGTAATGGGAGTTCTGTTGTGTTGTCTCTCATTTACAACTTTTATCTCTTTGTGAAATTCCTTTTCTGTAGGCATTGTGGAGAGGATATTCTTGGAGAAAGATGAATGACACAGCAAAAACTAAAGCTTTAAGACGCAGTTTGGAAAAGGCTAATGAAAAGAGCAGAGAAGAAAACAAATTGTACAACAGAACTGCAGCTGCAATCGAACACCTTCTGAAATACAAACATCTCTCTTACATCCTCGCAGCATTGAAGCATCTTGGTCAGTATCATAACTGATAGATTTACAGGATGATAAAAACTAGAGTTTTTCAGCTGAGAAGAGTTCATAGTGTTGTTTAGGCTTTCTGCATGACTGTAAAATGTGAGCATATTAGAAAGCATAATGGAGGGTTTTTCCAGGCTAAAATTAGATTATTGATTGGAGAATGATATTAAAATGGTGATGTGGGGAAAGGAAATCCTGTATGTTTGCTCTAATTTCCTGGCAGTTGTAGTAATGCTGTGCCTTATGTGAGTCAGTTATGTATGTTCTCCATGGGTAGTTGTGTCTGCTTAATTTTTAGTCTGGAATATTAAAACAATTGATTTAGAAGTAATTGTTTAAATCAATAATTTTTATTTCTTTGCGCTTCTACTTAAAAATAGAGAAAATCCTGGTTTGCAGTTAAATTAGTTGAACTTCAGAGTTTTTTGGGGTTTTTTTGTTCTTTCATTGTAGAGGTGGCTACCAGGTTGTCTCCCCTGTGTTGTGAGAATATGGCCCAGAGCAGAGCAATCTTTACTATTTTTGTTCTGATTCGAAGCTGCAACCGGAGTGTTCCGTGCATGGATGTGATCAGATACTCAGTTCAGGTTCTACTTAATGTTTCAAAGGTAACTTTAATATTTTCTTTTTCAGGTTTACATGCTACTTTACTATACTACTTTTTTATCCACAAAATTTCTGAATTGATTCGAGACAACAAAAATAATAGTTTTGAATAAAAAAACAGTTCCTGACTTTTAACTCTGTTATTTTGAAACCAATTATCTACCTTGTAGTAACTATATTTTAATATTTTTTCTGCCAAAAAAAATGTTTTCATGGCCTTAAGGCATTGCAAGGTATCTCAAGTATTTTTAAACTTCTCTGAACTTGCTCTTATTTATTTTTCCATTTTAAATGTAAATCAGATTCTATGGGTTCCTAAACAATGGGGGAAGCCAAAAGGTAAATTTTTGTAACCTGTTGCAGTCATGTAACGTACAGAAGCAATTTTTATTGCTTGGATGCCACATTAGCTACAAATTTATTCTAGGTGAGAATATGAACCTTGCTTGTTTCTCTGACCTGAAAGATATTTTAAAGATCTGTCCATATCAACTCTCTTGTCACTTATTTGTATAACAGTATGAAAAAACTACTCAAGCAGTTTATGAAGCAGAAAATTCTATAGATACATTACTGGACCTTCTGCAAATGTACAGAGGGAGAGCTGGGGACAGAGTTTCAGAGAAAGGAGAAAGCATTTTCACGAAGACCTGTTGTTTGTTGGCCATCCTTTCAAAGGATTCAAAAAGAGCTTCAGTAAGTCTTAAATGGTTTGGGTTTCATGGTTTCATTTAATATACTTTTCTTGCATGTTTTAGTGGTGTTTGTACTTTGTTTTTTCATATAAAATAAATTCCCTCTCTACCATACCTATTATGGCTGTAATATTAATTATGACTAAACTCTGGTTTCAGGAAATACATTTCCAAGATGGTGAAAACACTCATTATTTCTTGATTTGTTAAGGTCCTTTTGAACTTGTAGCATCAACTGTGTGCTGTTTTCCCCTTTTCTCAGGAAATTCGAGGCATGCCAAGAACTGTTACTTGCATTCAAAGCCTGTATAAACTTACAGCTCGGAAACACAGAATGGATGCAGAGAGAACTCTTGTGAAGCAGAAAACAAAGGCTGCCTTGGGTGGAAGTTGCCTTGTTCCAACTCCTCTAAGAATAAAAACAGTTTCAAGGCAAGTTCTTAAAAACTAGTCTTCTGTTTCTGCTGTGGCAATGTAATATTTTAATGACACGTCACTAATATTTTCACAGAATTAAACCAGACTGGGTCTTGAGGAAAGATAACATGCGAGAAATTGTGGATCCTCTGCAAGCAATTCTGCTGGTGATGGACACTCTTGGTGTTGCCTGCTACTGACTAACATGTAGATGATGTATATGAAAATGTATTTGTACAGTATGTATGTGGTAGATGGCTAAATGATTTTGAAAGAGAGTAAATAACTGTCAAGCTACGCTTGGAAATGTGTTTTTTTTTTATTGCAGTTAACATTTTGGTAACTTTTTGTAATGTATACAGCTTTTGAAATCCTATTTTGTACTACTGCCAAAAGCAATTGTACAATAAAATAATTAAACTGGATTTTACTGGTAATTTCACTAGTGTGGTAATATATCACTGTCTCCAACTTTGAATATTACAAGTGTCATAGAATTCCTTGCTCTTATTAAATGTTATAGAATTCTGTTAAGGACAGTTGTTTGTGTGGGACAGTAATGTTGTCTTGCCTGATCTAGAGAGGAATAGGTAGGAAGTGAGGCAGAGGCTGTGGGTTTTTTGTGGCTGTTTTTGAGGAGCTTGAATCTACTTTCTAGTAAGGTTTTGAGGGATCATGTATGATAGTAAAAAAAAAAATTACAATTCCTATCTTCTTTAAACACTGCAGGATTATGATGGAACAACGAGATGTTGTAAGAGTGAAATTAGAAATTCAGACCTACATGGACATGTATCTGGCTGAATGTTTATCACATCATTCTGTTCCCTTCTGCTTTGAAACTGCATTTTCTTAGGGCAAGGCCAAGAGAATGCAAACTGTAAAATTAAACCCTGCCCCTCCCATATTTAAAAACATTATGCCTCTAATGATATTAAATTGACTCATAGCCATTAGTGAGTCAGATGATAATGCATTGTAAATGAGGGTCATGTTTTTTGGGTTTTGTTTAAAAATACTGGGAAGAGGCTAGAAGTATACAACAAAACTCAACAGACAGATAATAGCAGTGGCTGTGTTCTCACTGTAAGAGACTCCAAAATAATAGTAATACCTGTAGAGTGCAACTGGCAGATTTGTGTGGGGGTAGACTGGAGGAGAGGGAATTGTCTGTTTCCTCTTTTTTCAGTCAGGATAAGTAATCTGATAACAGAATGCCCTTTAAACTTGGAACTCAGGAGGTTGTGAGGGGAACACTGTTCAACAAGTTTAAATTGTTCTGTAGTCCTGCTGCCTGATTTTGCTGTAAAATGATACATTCTGTCCTCTTTAGTGATGGTAAAGTATGCCAAATGGAAGGAGAATCCTGCAAGTCTAATGTTAAAGTATAAAATAAAATGAAATTAGTTTTTTTTAGTGAAATAACTTGTTACAAAATACCCTAGACAATAAAGACATTTGTGAATGCCTTTGAAAACCCAGTTAATTATTTACAAAAGTAATACTGCAAGAGTTTTAACAAGTGGTGGAACCTGTTGCTAGAGACAGTAACGAAGATGAGATTTAATAGCTTTTCTTTCTTCCTACTTATGATGTATTCAGGCAAACTCTTTGCAGAAGGTAAATACACCGAATTATATCATTAATAAATGTACATTGAATATAGAACATGCAGTCTGGGTACCTTAAGGCAATGTCTTTTAGCTCTTTACTTAGTAAACAACTGCTTTTAAAGTTTAATTTTGTTGTGAGATAGCTGATGATGAAAATTCCACTGTTGCTGATTCTAATCTAAGCTTCAAAGCTGTAATATTGAAAGGTTCAGCCTTGAGTTCAGAAATTTCTTTTGAAATGTCTCTGAGCTGTTTTGAGTCACACAAGTCTAAGTTTGTGCTATTAAGACATTTTATATGTTGAAGTGTCTTGGTGGACATAGTTAGATGGAAGCTCCGGGAGTTAATCGGAGGTGTTTCTGCTTTTCCTACCCTTATTTTGAGCATGGATTAAGATTGCTGAGTTTATATACCACTTTAACTGTAAGTTCACAAAGCATTGGGCTCTGTATGAGGGCCACATCCACTAATTCAAAAGGTCTCCCTTCTTTTTAATATTTCGTTTCCTATCTGCTAATGGATATTTGTCTCCAGCATATTTGTTGCAACTACCTCTGTCTTCACTAGAGTTTTGCCCTTAAGCAAGGCAGTTGAAATGACACTTTCATTGGAAAGTCAAACAACAGGTATGTAGGTAGCAACCATTTCTGTCTTAATTACTTACAGATCTTAATTACCCTCAGGTTTGTTTTTTTGCTTTGGTTTTTTTATTTAGATGTCATACTGTGGCTGTGTGAGAAAGGGAATGATTAAAGAAGTTACCTGTCTATTTAGCATCAAAACACTGAATTTGCAGAAAATTCTAGTAAATGCAGTCAATTCTAGTGACGTTGAGTGAGGGAAGGATAGTTTGTTATTTTGATTCTAATATGTGTCAGGTGAATGCAGCAGTGTCAACTTGTGAGAAAACTCTGCTCGATTATGATGAGATTCATAGGTTGCCTTGGAAAGAATTTTTGAGATCCAAAGCATAAAATTATAACAAATCCATAACTTTTGCTTTTTTCTGTTTTTTTTTTTTTCATTAATTTGTTTTCTTGGTTGGGCAGTGGGGGGTGGGGGTGTTGATTGGTTGAGGGTTTGGTTTTTTTATTGTTTGTTTGGTTTGGTTTCATTATTTTGGATTTTTTAAGTCACTTAATGTCATACTCAGCACTACTCTTTGAAGGTTTCCTCCTATTTCGGGTTTGTTGGAGTCTTTTTATTTGCTATTCTGCTTATTCTTTCCTTAATCTCCATTTCTTCTTTCTATTCTGTTGACAATTCCCTTTCTTGGGTAAGTTTAACTCCTGTATTGCCTCCTGGCAGTTTGTCCTACTTTTCTGCTTATGTTTGCTGAATTGAGGAGCTATGACACAGCTAATATTGACACTGTTACTGCTGGATTTTAGAGCAGACATTGGTATGTTTGTGTAGCAAAGGGAGCTCATGCCTCTGTGCTAAATAAAGAGCAAAATAAAAGTGTCCTGCATCAGTTTTTCCCAGTTCATTTCAGGAAGTTTCATTCTACAGCTGATATTCTTGTGAATATAAAGAGCAAAAGCTGATATCATTATAATATATCTTAATTTCAGCAAGTCTTAAAAGACCTTTTGTGCTTGTAAGTATTCAGAATTTCCTTCTCCTTGTTGGAAAGCCTGAATCAGGTGAACTGATACTAAACAAATTAATGCAAAAACATTCCTATCTGGGCTGAGAATTTCAGTGAGAAATAGATTTATCTTTTTTGCAGATATACCTTGTGATTTGCCACATATAGAAAATGGGAAGATTGCCCAGTACTACTACAGTTTCAAAAGTTACTATTTCCCTATGCGTAAAGAAAGAAAACTTTCCTATTCTTGTATGGTTGGTTATACAACTGAAACTGGGAGTCCAGATGGAAGAATAACTTGTACAGCAAAAGGATGGTCTCCAGTGCCACAGTGCTACAGTGAGTTAACTTTATTAATCTCATTGCTTCTAGCAAGAAAATTTTCTAGCTGGTTTTCCTGGAACACACAGGAACAGAAGTTGCATTACAAAAGGGATTAAGTATTTAAGTTAGGGCAAGGTGTAATCAATCTGTTATGTATGCAGACTACATAGGTTTATATTTTCACAATAATATCTATTTCAAGGGCTTTTAACATTTATGTTTCTATGAAAGCATCAAGACAGTTGTCCTGATTCCTTATTTTGGTGTATATCTTCAAGAGGCTCTCCACTTCTAGATTCCTTGGTGGTTGTATTCCATGTTCTTACCATTGGTTTGATGATTGTAGCAAAGTTTCTTCAATAGGTCAAGAAAATAAGATTAGATCAGTATAGATAAAACTATCTATCTTTTACTTAATGACGACCAAAAATATTCAATTCTTTCCTTCTAACCAAGCTGTCTTTCATTCAGGAAAATGTACCAAACCTTTTTTGGAAAATGGCTTTTTGTATGGTACAGAAATGTACTTCAAAATCTATGAGAAACTGCAATACAAGTGTAATCCAGGCTACCACACTCTGAGTGGTGGTACTGAAGACACAGTACAGTGTGGGCCAGAAGGATGGTCCTCCCAGCCAAGCTGTACTAAAAAATTTGGTAAGACTCTGCATTTTTCTCCTTTATAATCTATTGTATATGTATATAATTCCACTGTCCTTACAATACCTGTAGGGCCAAACTGCCTATGTCAGTTTGTCATTTGAGTACTCCTAAAAATAGGTTCCTAGCTGTACCTCATGGGAAGACGTGGTCAAATTTCACATCTGCTAGTTTTGTGAATTTGTGTAGATACAATTATATGTGGAAGGAATCAGTATAGATGAAATTGCTTTGTGTTGAATAGAATCATAGAATCAACCTGGTTGGAAGAGGCCTCAAGGATCACTGAGTCCAACCCTACTGTGGTTCCTACGCCATGGCACTAAGTGCCCATCCAGTCTCATCCTGAAAACCTCCAGGGATGGGGAATCCACCACCTCCCTGGGCAGCACATTCCAATGTCTGATCACTCTCTCTGTAAAAAAATCTCTTCCTAATATCCAGCCTAAACCTCCCCTGGCAGAGCTTGAGTCTGTGCCCTCTTGTCCTGCTGCTGGTTGCCTGGGAGAAGAGACCAACCCCCACCTGACTCCAACCTCCTGTCAGGTAGTTGTAGAGGGAATAAATCCATTGTCATACAAACTTTCTTTCCAAATGACAACTGGAAAACTTGTGTCAACAACTGCGTTTGTAATTATTCATTAGGCGTAAAGATTTGGCTGTGGATATGAACACTTCTAATGTGTATGTAAGGAAAATTTTAGATTAATAACATGAAATGAAAAGAGCAATTAATCTTATGCATATACTTTATTTATTTAAGAGTCATGCCAGGTACCCAATTTGAGCCATGGCAGCTATTTCACAACCCAACGAGAGCTTCAGCTGAACGAGTCACTGCTGTACGTTTGCGATGAGGGATATCGTACGGCAGGAGGAAGCACCACAGAAACAGCAGTGTGTCTGGCACATGGGTGGTCCCTTACTCCAAACTGCATGAGTATGTCATGGGCTGGAAAAGCATTCTGTTTGAAGCATGATTTAATGTACAAATAAAAATTTGGAAAGA